AGAGAGAAGCCACATTCTGTGGCTGCCACATACTAGAGTAAACTCCCAACAGCTCCCCTTAGAAGATATTCAGTTCCTGAACAGCGATAATAACCTTAGACCAAGCCATTTCCTAGAGGCAAATGGCTCCTGAGGCTATGTTGTAGATCTGTGGCTGCTATCAAGCCACCACTAATTCCATTGCTTTGATAAAGCCTATAATAAAATATTTAAAACCACAAGTTGAGGTGGAGGAGTGGGTGGAAACCAGCAGAAGGCACTAGGAGTTCATCTGTTAAATTCACCTGGTTAGCAAATAGCAAGAACATCACCGAGGCACAAAAAAGGGGTCCGGGACAGGGCGTTTACCCTTCCTGAGGATCTCTCACGGAGATACAGGCATTATCAAAGAGATGCTGTGTGTTTATTACTCATGTGTCATATGGTGTTTGGTTTTAAAAGAACGTTGTTCACCTTAAACCACAAAACCCCACTTCCACCCGCACCTTTTAAAGCTGCTTCCTATGAATGCCCAGCCAGACTTCAGTCGAGACAGAACTAAACATGGGTGGCACTAAGAAGTCTTAGGACATTTTTACTGGCTGACAGCTGATGGAGCTGAGCCACCTTACAGACAGTTTTTATGAAATGTGAGTGTGGCCTTGTACTGATAGGGCTAGTACCTGGTGGACAAAGATTTAATACAGGAGAGACAAGGCAGTCCAAGGAATGCGGTGCTTCACATCGTGGCCTCCATGTACCGCTGCAGAGGTCTGATCCGCAGCAATGCTGTGTACCCACATCCCCTCCTATGGCACATGTATATGCCTCTGGTATATATACTGGTATATGGCTTACAAAGATCTCTGCCCTGAGGCTTACTGGAGCACAGCTCACAGAGCCCTCCTCCCCCCAGGACAGGTAGGAGGGCATTCCCTCGCAGCCCAAATGCACACAACAGACCTCTTAAAAGGTGCTCAGGGCAAAAGGAGCATACTGCATGCAGGAAAATTAAGCCAAGCAATTTGCTTTCAGGGGAATCAAATCCATAAATTCCCTGGTTCAGCTCCAGCTTGGGTTTAACTAAATCCCATGGGAATACTTCAGGGTCAGTTCGGGCTTAAGGGAGAAGATGCACACAAACACAGAAAACCAAGAACAAAAGATTCAATCCACTTATCAGTTTAGGTTCCCTTTGAGTCTGAGCAGCAGTGCTCGGAGCTGTGTAAAGACGAGTTTAGGCATGTTTACAAGCCTGTAGGACTGGCGTTACAAAGCTTTGTTCTGACATTTTAACAGGGGAGTTACCTTATTCTGTTCAACGGCCTCTGCTTCTCATCCTCCCCCTGTTCAACCTCATATAAAAGTTATTTTTCAACCGTGAATGTCATTTCCTGAGAGACGTGGGTCACAGATTTGTTTCTGTTCTTCGGACAGTCTAAATTTAGACTCCTGACAGGAAATGGCAGAGAAATTTTTATTTTTCTCTAGCTGGGCTGGGAACGCATTTAGAAGCAGCTCCGACCACAACCGCTTCAGCGTGACCTGCCTGCCCGCAGCCCATGCAAAGCTGGATCTGCTACAGGCACTGTGCAGTAAACCTCAGCAGGTAAAACCAGCAAATTGCTTGGGTTTGCAAACAACTTGCACAGTTTCCAATGTAGCCTCCAGGCTCCAGTATCCACCCACCCTCCCTGTACCTCTGCTTGTCACTACCTGCTTGTCGTGTCCCCTGAGATTGCTCCTGCCCGCTTTCCTACTGGAGAAGGCTTGCTTGGTTGTACTAATGAAAGCCAGGGGCTTACAGCACTCGTTAGCGTTAGCAATTAGTCCTGCGCTGTTGCTCTGCCAGCCCTGGCAGTCTCCCAGGCATTCATCGCCAAGCATGCTGAGCCAAGCACTGATGATCCAAGACTCTTTCCTGCCAGCGTTATCCACCCGCCTCTTCTCTCCCGTTTCACTTCCTACCCCTCACTTTCTGCTCAGGAATATTACTTAACCACCCTGTAGCTGTGATGGTAAAAGCCAAGGGGAGCAGCAATTTGGGCAGAGTTCCCTGTCCCCACCTGTTCTTATAAACCAGCTGTAGAAGTGGGAGTTGCAGCTTTCTCTGCCTTGGTGCAAGAGATGTCCCTCACTGGTGGAGGGACAGACAAAAGCAGGGATCAAGGAGGTGGTGAAATGGTTTTTACCAAGAAAAGGGACACATCTGTGGAGAGCTGGCTTACCAACAGGCTGGATAATAAGCCTCATGCTGTATGCTGTCCCTAGTAGTGATACAGGATTAAATCTTCTCTCTGATGCGTGTGACAGAGAGGATTGATAAAAAGGGACCTCTGGAGTCGTGGTATTACAACTCCTGACAGGTCTCACCACCCCGAACAATTGCCCTCTTGTAAAAAGCATTCAGAAAAGCCCTAGTGTAAAACATTGCAGGAAATCCTAGTGTAAGAAGATGGCATGAAAGGCCCCTTGGCACTAGAGGCCAGGCCTCCGGGACCAGCACAAAGCAGATCTGCACTGAGGCCCTGGTTTGGATCCTGCACGAAACACGTGAAGGAGGGTGAGGAGCTACTGACCTCTCTCCTCCAGCAAAGCCACCCCACCGGGGCTGGGCAGCCTGCTGGCACGGCACCAACTTGCTGCTTCCTGAGGGACTTCAGGCATCACAGAATCACAGAATCACAGAATAGTAGGGGTTGGAAGGGACCTCTGTGGGTCATCTAGTCCAACCCCCCTGCCGCAGCAGGGTCACCTACAGCAAGCTGCACAGGACCTTGTCCAGGCGGGGCTTGAATATCTCCAGAGAAGGAGACTCCA